AGATTTATGTATAATGAAAGTGTCGTAAAGATTGAACTTTTATTTAGTGTAATATTCTTTACAATATTTCGGATCATAATACTACCTCCGTCCCCCTAAGTTTGAGACAAGAGAAGGTGACACGGTTATAATAAAAGTGGTTTTATGTGGTTGATATTGAATTGATAAAGTAAGAATAAAGTAAGAATGATTGAGAGCCACACAAATTTTACCAAATAAGATATGAGACAATTTTAGTGGGACGGACCGAAAAAGTAAAATGAGACAATCATAGCGGGACGGAGGGAGTAGTAGACTAAGTTTTGAACTATATAACCTCTGAAATACTGAAGATATTACACACATAAATCTCTATACAATTTCACTTAGAAACTTGACACAATTAACGGCCTTGTGTCCATATCCATTCATGAGCTCCAACAAGTAAAGCCTTAAATTTGGTGAATCGGCAGCCATTCTAGCTCACATAGGTAGGTCTTTTCAAATTGTGTTATGCAATCAAACACTTTGTCAAAAGATCTATTAAGACATAGTCAACCTCATTACACATTGCAGACTCAAGCACTTACCTCGGGATGGTTATTATTCAAAAGTGCTTCAATCTCGGAGTGACTTACTCATCATAATTGAACTCAAGATCTAGCGTTGTACTAGACGTTGAGTTGTGCTTTCTTTCACTTGTGATTATTTTCCAAGGACTTTAACCCCACCCCTTTTGCAATTTTGTACATCATGTCCCTTGGCATCGCCTTTGTAAAAGGATTCGCAAAATTTACATGTGATCGTACAAAATCAATCACAACAACTCCAGAACTAATAAGTTCCCGCACATAGCTGTGTCTCACTCCTATGTGCCTTGACTTACCAATTTACCATTGTACACATGGTTATAAGCTTTCGACAGAGTTGATGCACTATCACAATGGATTGATATCAAGACCATAGGTTTAGGCCATATTGGTACTTCTGACACTAAATCCTTTAGCCATTCCGCTTCTTTACAAGGTGATGCTAAAGCTATAAACTCTGAAGCCATGGTAGAGTCAGTGATACAAGTTTGTTTTTTAGATGCCCATGAAATAGCACTTCCTCCAAGAAGGAATAACCACCCACTTGATTAGTTATCCAACTTGCATCCGTATAACCTTCTAATATAGACGGTTCACTCTTGTAACATAAGCTGGAGCTCATTATTTTCTACTTAGATATTTACTTTGACATCTTATAACAATTATGAATGGTTAATATTAGTTCTCACATATTATGTTTCATTTACGGTTTTTGAAAATTTTAAAATAACTATCTGCTCCCCCTAAAATAACATGTCTTATTCTTTGAAAAGGGCACTTATTTTTACCACAATTACAACATCGCTAACATCTACCAATTCTAAAGTGCTAGAATTTTTTTATAGGAACACATTCATTCATATTCTGGCGGATTGGTAGTTTCAACATATGTGTTTTCTTTATTAATATTGTCACTCAGTCCACTTGATAAAAAAACTCTTGCTCCCCCTAATATGGCAAGTCTTCATGTTTACAAGGCATACACGTTGATTATAAATGGTTTTAGGTGTTGTTATAACTCATTTTCTATAATAGTTCACACGTTGTCAACTTCAAATTCATGTGTTGATACTGAAGTATGTTTTGTAAGTATGAAAGCAACTGCAATCATATATGCATTAGGGATGTTTATTTTGGAAATTCGTAACATAATTGACTGCCTAATTGGATATACGTTACTCACTCATTAGCTTCAAAAATTCGGCTACTAATCTCAGGTGTCCATGTTCACTACTATTGCACTTTTGCTTGTCCAATGACATGTATCCTTCTGTAAAGTCTTTCTACTCACTTCTTAGTGTATTTTGTTTATGCATTAAGACTATTACAGGAAGTCATATCTCCACAAAACATAACAAAACAAATAAGGTTACTTAAGTAATGCTTTTCTAAATTACCTTAAATCTCTATATTAGTTTATAGTTTACTTTGACATCTTATAACATCAATGAATGGTTAATATGATGTATAGTTCTCACATATTATGTTTCATTTACTGGATTGAAAGTTTTCAAAAAAAATCATTTCTTTGCTCATAAAACAAAGTCCAAATTGATGTGTTGAAAATTTGTTTATCACTCAGTCCAAAACATGATGTATTTCTTATCACTCAATCCAAAAAAATCATGTATTTCTTATCACTTAGTCCAAGAAACGATTGTGTTAAAATAAAGTCCAAATTGCTTATCACTCGGTCCAAAAAATCACTCTGTCCAAATATGATGTATTTCTTATCACTCAGTCCAAAAAATTATGTATTTCTTATCACTCAGTCCATGAAATGAGTGTGTTAAAATAAAGTCCAAATTGTTTATCACTAAGTCCAAAAAATCATTTCTTAACTACTCAAAAATTTGCTTTTTTCTATTTTACAAATTCTAATTACACCCAAACATTTAATATTACAATAACACATTTTTGAAATTTCTGAAAACAACTCTATTCACCAATTGAGTGTACAAGTTGTTGTGTATGCTATAAATTAATAACGCTCCCATTGAATGATAAAGTGAAAGCCCTCAAATTCACAATTGCACTCAATAAACAACTGCGGCCAAGTTCACACAAAGGCAAAAACGAATTTCTTTGTGCTTTGTCTTTCTTTGCTCACATTCACGGCTAATCCTATAAAAAGTGATGCTCTTAACAATGATGTTCACGATAAAGTAATGGTAAATTCTTGAGAAGCTAAGAGGAAGTACATTGTGGAGGAAAGCAATGAATCACAACGCAAGGAAGCACTCTTTCTGGACTTACGAGCAAGCAACGACCTCTACCAAGGTTATTAATGAATAGGTTTATGTATGGTAAGACTTATAAATTTGATGCATAGTTACTACTTAGCATATACGTCCTCCGTCCCGAAATGGTTGGTCAATGTTGAAATTTGTGTGGATTAATAAAGTAACCCGTCCTCCGTCCTCCGTCCTCCGTCACGTGGATTAATAAACTAAAAATTGTTTGGTTGAAATTTGCGCAAAGGAGAGAGAATTAACTTTAGCCACATATTCCTTACTTTAAATGAAAATGACAAACTTTTTTTAGACGGCTAAAAAGGGAAATTTGACCAACCATTTTGGAACGGAGGGAGTATGTTACATTAAATAAGCAAGGTCCTAAATACTCCGTATAACCTTTAGATGTAAGACTATTTAGTGGCCGTTTAGAAGATCACAAGTTGGCTTATAAGCCTGAATATACAAAAAAAAATCACCAAACACCCCTTAAGTGGGCTGATTTGGCTGATTTTTATTATAAGCAGAAAAAGTAACCCAACTCCTAGTTTTTGGGCTGATTTCTATTATTATACCATTAACATATTAAAAGACATATTTAGACTTCTCTAACTCTTAAACTCATCTATTAGTTGTCTTCTTCCCAGCTGCACAAACTTCCCCTGGCCGACGTTTTTTTCTAGAATTGGTTCACTTGCTATTTTTTTATCCTTGATCACTTGCTATATACGAGTATACGACGTTTAATTTAAATAACCAAAGCAGCTAATAATTGCCTCCCGCCGTACCCTTTTTTACAATTAACAAAACATTTTGTTAATTAGGCACTACATGCATGCTCCATCATCCTTATAAAAGCATAATTTATAATATAAATTTACTCATTTCAGTAAAAAGATTTTACTAGCAAATTTAATTTACATATATTTTCAATACAAAGAAGAAAATGCCCTTTTTGATAGATATACATTCAATCAGCCACTCCAGCAAAAATATAACCAAACACTTTAACTTCAATAGTTTCAACAATTTCAGCCAATGCAGTCATTTCAGCCATTTCAGCCATTAAACAACCACCGATGTAAGCTGTCTGCATTTTCTACACCATGGTACAAGTTACTCATACTCTTACAAACAGATACGAGTATGAAACTATTAGAAATTAAAAAACCTCCAAAACACAACTTTTCGGTCTAATGCTTTTATTTATTTCTTATGACAAAGAATTAAATAAACTAACAGTTGTGTTATTTCCTTACTCTCAATTTATTTTTATGTGCTTATTTAAAAAGTTGGTGACAACCGACAAGCAATATGTTTTCTCTTATATTTTTAAGAGCTACTACGTATTAATTGATGTGAATCATATCAATTTATATTTGTATGGTGTAGGTGTGGGTGTGTTACAATGAAAATAAATCTAACCCACTTGTTTACTTCGGATTCTTCACAGTGACTTATGATAAATCATTCACTCTGCTCTTGCTGCCTTTGTGAAGTTTAGAAATACATGTCATATTTTTCATTTCTTTGAACCAGGAACATTAATCCGTCAATTGGGATCTAAATGTGATATTTTCCGTCGGAGGTACCGTGGTTAAATTCAAAGAGTCCTTTATTTATGTAGGATATTATTATTGTATTCCAATTTATTCACATGGAATAGAGTAAGGGAAAAACAGATTTTTGCTAGGGTTATGCTAAACTTTTACCATAACCCCTTGTTGAACCACCTCTCTTTCCAAGATATAAATGCAAAATCAATAAAAAAAAAATCAAATAACAATTATTTGTGACAAACTTACTGTTTTGTTATGATAACCTTAACTATTTGTACTTACAAAATGAATAAAAATTTACAAACTATTTCTAAAACTTACTGCCCAAATTAGACAATGTAGATTATCACGGTTAAATAAAATTTCAATGAAGATTAGCACACAACATTTCAGTGAGAAAATTTGTAAATATTGGGCATCATTGGCACGTGGTACGTACTCCGCTAGTATACTGGTCAAACTCGAGTTATAATATTTAGAGCTTGATCGAACTCGAGCCGAGCTAAAGCATGTAAAATAATTTTGAGCTCGAGTTCCATCATATATAAGTCCGGGCTGGGATTGAGTCGTTTGCACCCCTAGTTCTATGCCCCCCCCCCCCCCCCCCCCAGGATCAATAGGACCAATATGGCAGTACCAATGTCCATGAGTTCACTGCCCATTGGCGTCAGCAAATATCCATCAGCACCACTAACAGACTAACTGTCAATGCCAACGACATCAATTATGTCGATGGAAAAGAATTAATAAACTCTATCGTCGTGCATTTTTTGCCTCTGACTCTCTGGGTAAGGTTATCACAGAACCAATCAAGAATATGGACAATGTCTTCACTACATGATAATTTATATTGAGCTTCATCACTGTCTAGTGCTGTGACAACATTTAATGTCTAATGCAACACTATTAATGCGCAATGGCTCAGCTCACCATTGTTGGATTCACGATCATAAAAACCAGGAAGAAGAGCTGGATTGCAACTGGAATAGAAATCTGATATAATACTAAGACACCAATTTTGTGGAAGACATTTCTTGGTGGACTTACGCTTTAAAGCTTCCTCCAAAATTCTAAATACATTAAAAAAAACACACTTCGGGTCATCAAAAAAATAAAGCATTAAAATCAGTAACACATGACAGTAAATAAATATGTACATTCAGAATGTACCATAAATGATGATAGGAATGAAGTAGAAAACTACAAATTAGCAGAGAACTCTCAAACAAGTGGTTCATCACACTGATTTGTGACCGCTGGCCAGAAGCGCATCAGCCACCGAATCCAAATCATGAGGAAAGAAAACCCTGCAAACCCCATCCCCATGCATAAAGATCCATTAGTACTAAAAGTCGAATATCTTTAGGGAAGCAATGCGTGCAAAAGTACAACCCTGTGTTGATTTAATCATGCACCTGCAAGTGTTGTGATACAATGTTTTGCTCAAATCCTCAATGTCAGCTATGCCTTTGGTGGCAGCAATGACCTCGATTACTTGCCTACAAGTTGAGATTAGTTACCTCGTTAAACACAATTGATGGACCTAAAATATTGATATATACATTACATCAATAGAAACTAGAAAGTGTCACTTTTAGTCTCATGATGACTATCAGGTCATTCATGCTATTGATCTCTAACTTTCAGTTTTTTTTTCTTTTTGTTTACTGAGTATAGCTTTTGCCATCTCTGATTCTTTCTGGTCACTTATCAAGCGGAAATACAATAAATTGACTGATAAGTGATCGAGGGAATAGGTGGAAATATTTGAATCAGAAAGATGCAAGTTCATTGGTTACTCACCTAACCAAACATGGTTCATTGCGACCTTTAACGAGACATTCTTCATCATACTTGTCTTTCTTCTTAGACGACCACAAAGATTTCACAAAACGAGACCCAGCATGTGTGTTCTTGATTTCACAGTAAGGAGAATCAGTCTCAATCATCATCCTATTGATGGGAATGCCCTTAACAACCTCGATGTTCTCTTCAGTCTTCAAAGAACAACCATTGACACCTAACAAAATACAAGGATTAAGCACACGCTCAAAAGGATGATGTTGAATACAGAGTTGTTGAAATGGGCTTTAAACCATCACAAAAAGACCCTAAAGAGATGATATTTCCCTAACAAAAATACAACAATCGACACCCTAAAAAATACATAGTTGCGTAATTGTGCTTAAACCACCACAAAGGGATCCTTAAATGATGATGCTTACCTCGCACTCATATACTAAACTCAAAACCAATAGACAACATATGCGGAGTCAACATACACCCTTCACTCCAAGACGGGCTGAAAATTCTAAAAGGTGGACAAACCGAACCTAAAGGCTAAAGGTGCTCCCTGAAACCATCAAGTGGGCAAGCACCATTAAAAACAACCAATATATTAGACTCTGATACCAAATTAATTTGGGTTAAATCACCTAAAAGTATCCTCAACTGATGAACTTATATACAAGACCCAAACCTTACTGTCGACTCATGTGGGATACTCAACAGGAAGCATGATATGTTAAAAAGTTGGGGGTGAGGCGAAAAGGTTTACCTATAAACAGATTATTGAATGAGAGAAGTTTGTCTCGATCTTCTGCACTATCTGTAAACGAGTGAACAACACCGGCACAAAACCTGTAAAAGATAGGAACGGATCAGGTGGGTAAACAAAAAACAAGTCACACTTCAACCTGAGTAATCTTCATTGAGTGAAGAAAAACAGAACTCTTGTAATCAATTGATTATATGACTCTCCTATTATCCAATTGCAAGGTGTAACTGTAAGAAATTATTAATGCAAAAAGTTTGTTATGTTTCCTGTTTCACAAGAAACCAATCTTACCGATCATAATTCCGATCAAATATGTCACAAAAATCATGGGCAGCTGCTCGCATGTGAAGAAACATAGGCAGCTTCATCATAGATGCTAATTCAAAATGCTTCTCAAAGTATCTGAATTTCAAGATCATGGAAAAGCAAAATCACTTAAAGAGTCACAATGAACCTTCCAGTGGGGGATGGGAGACAAGAAACTCAACAGGAACCCACTTAAATTGCAGGGAGATTGATGTACTAGAAGGAATACATACTTCTTCTGAATATCAGAAGGACAAAAATGAAGCCTATCATAGTCCAATCCACACTCTCCAATGGCAACCACCTTACTTGCAGTTAGAAATTTTCACCAGTTGCATGAAATCAGAACAAAACACAAGCGGTGAAGTCGTTAGTTATTTAGGATGTCTTCATTAAAATCTAATCATGCACAAAGAAAAAGGCTTAGAATATTTTAGTGTAATTGCAACATTCCCATATCAACCAAATGGGAAATGGATCTATTTGGGAAAAATTTCAAATCACTTATAGCTAAGTTGGGTGTCTACTTTGACTCTCTGTGTTTCTTGTGCGATAATATTTGTACAATGTGATCATAGTAAACACATCAACATTTTTGGGAACAGGGTAGCTCATGATGATTTGCATGTTCAACATATTCCCTCTCATCCTCAATTGGCAGATATCTTCACCAAAAAAATATTTTATCAGCACTTTGAATTTCTTAAACACAACCTGCGTGGTTTCCTTCCGCACAGATTGGGGGTGCCGTAGAGGATAATTAATGTTATTTTGTAATATCAATAATTTATATGGACTTTTTGCAATATTATGTATTAATATGACCCTAAGCTGATATATGGTGTCACGGGGCCCCTAAATACAGGAGCCGCACATCATATTCTTCACTTCAAACTTGAAACCATTTCAGAAATATAAACTAGAAAAGATTTACAAGTTAAAGTTAACCAAGAATGATGATGCACATGCATCTCTAGCCGCTTGGAAAATGAATGAATCTTCTTACAAGCCAGGAAAAAGTGCACACCTTTCCTTTATGAACGCCTTCCTTAGCAAGTGATAAGAGTGCTTGAAAATGCCCTTCTGGGTCCCCACTCTCATCAAATTCCTGAATGAACACATGAGAAGAAAATGATTGTATGTCTGACTAAGTTATTATACAAAATTAAAAGACCATCGTAGTTGACAAAACCTACGTTGCATCTTGTCGGGTGCACTCCTACTGTACAGAACAGTCTAGCTGCATAATAAAACCACTATAATGATTAGCTACATCATGACATACAATTGAGAGTGGTTGTAAAAGAAACAATATAAATGGCAAGGGTGACCATCTGATTCTGCAATTGCAAGAGCTTCCTTCGATTCCTCAAGTGAGCCGCCAGTAACCTATAATATTTTTTAGAAAATAGTCTATCTTCATGTGGAACAAACTAATATTGATCTTCCAACAATCATATCTAGTTTAGGAAAAGAAGAAAAAATCATATTCCAAACATCGTTTCTCATCAATACAAACATTAGAAGAGCTTCCTCCGTAATGGCATAAGATTTAAGTTGAGCAGGATTTGTTTTGCTCTACAGTAAAGCATGGCCGTTTGGTAAAGTTTTGTTTTGGATATGTCCTTCTATATAAAGCTTACAAATGTGAAATGAAGGGGAGACTTGGCGCACCAGTTAAGGTGGTGTTGTGTGATCAAGAGGTCACGAGTTTAAGTCTTGGCAGCGGCCTCTTGTAAAAAAATTGTCAATGGGAGGCTTGCCCCTTATACACCCATTTGGGGTACTCGATGTAAATCAACAACGAAGAGAGAGAGAGAGAGAGAGAGAGAGAGAGAGAGAAGGCAAAAACAAACTATTTTGTTCTATTTACAGAATTTTCCACACATTTGCCATGGAAATATCACTCTAACTTTTGAGAGGTTCAACATAAAAGAAAATATAACCTATGTAGCTAGAAATCCAAACACAGACTGTCAGGTTTTAACTCGTGTTATCGTTTTCCTTTTCCCCTTTTCAAATTGTCATCTAAATGTTCTACTCAAATACAAGTTACAAAAAATTGCAGCACTATTCACTCTCTGAGTCTAAAAAATGAAGATCTCCTCTTTCCAGCATTCGTTTATTGGAGGACAGCAAGCATAGAATGTCAATCTCTCTTCTAGTTAACGGGTGTGGGTAAGCGAGAAGAACTGAACTTACTATGATTCTTTCAACCCCAGCAGCCCAGGCTCGCTTCAGAACAGCTTGAATATCAGCAGCATGATACTGTTTCCCATTGTATACTCCTTTGAACATGCTATCTGAAGTGTAATTTCACTCTATTTATAGGTTAAACAGGAAAGTTATATGTAAAGAAAAACTAAATATGCGCATTTGAAGTGGCTTTGGAACTCCACTGACCTGTAAAGTTGACTGCAATATCTGTTTTATTTGAGAATGATAGATGGCATCGTCAGATATTCAGATAAAACGGTTCAAACAAAGTAAAGTTTCGTGTAACTGAAATGGAAATCAACTAAGAATAATTGAGTTAATAAAATAATTCATCAATATGAAGATGAATATGAATTCAGGTTACTTGCCTATCATTCGTAGAGTAGCCATGGTAGATGCCTTGGAGAAGAAGAAGGTTTCGAGCAGGCCCGGCCCTGACGTATCAAGGGCCCTGTTAAAAAATGAATGGAGGCCTTAAAATACAAAAATAATACTCTGTACTCTGTATTATCTAGCAATATCAAAGCACTAATCAACGTAATAAACAAAATAGAAATTGCTCAATATAGAACCAAAATATACACAAAGTGCAAAAATTGGTTTAAATATGATTTATTCTCCAAATAGGACTTATTTAGTTATATTAAAAGAATAAATTGATTAAAACTTTCCAAAATAGGATTGAATGAGTACTACTTTGAAAATAAAATAATAATAATCCTATTTATGAACTTAAACTTTGTGTTGCTTAGAGTGTTTGAGGCTCTGATTAACACAAGCTTAAATCTGTTGAACGTCACGAGAGACTATTAACACTTGTATAAACAAGACATTGGAGAAACTAGATGAAAATTTACCTATTGGTCTAATGAGCAAAGTGTCAAAGCGGATGCGCTAGACCTCCATGATTGTACATTTGTACCTATCATACTACCCTTACCAAATCTAGCATCTGGTCTTACAAATAACTGCATAAGCATATATAGTTTCATAGCCTTTCAATCTAAAAATCTATTTTACTATGGCGACTCGTCAACTGCCTTTTGGCTTGGGATCTCTACTCTCTAGATTAATTCATTATCCTATTTGAACTCAAAGAATTGCTATTTACGAAGAGTCGGATATCAGACGCGCCATACTATGCGGAAAAAATCCTCATTCCCTGTTGGGCTTATACATAAATTTTTGTGGAATATCCCGTTTTAGCCACTATTGTCTATCGTATTTCTTTTATAGCACACCACAAAGTTTTTTTCATATCTAGACTTTTAACTTTTCACTTATATTTTTTATTTCAAAAATAGCTTAGCAGCTAAAATTAGAACCTACACCCTCCTCGACCATCGGCGATTTAACATTGTGATCTTAACCTCCTGCAACATTAACTTCCATTCAGCCCCAAAACTCCACTGCCGAGCGACACTTCTCCCCCCTCCCTCTGCTGCAGAAACACTTGAGAAGGAGGTGCGGCTCAGCTACGAAATCTGCAGCTTCACTTTCTATGGCTCGCCGACGAACAAAAAATTATTGAATACTTACATGACAAGGTCAGAGTATCTGCTGCAATGATGGCTCTACCATCTGTAATCGCTGCTCCGACAAGTACAATTGAGAGGTCTGGCCGCTATTGATGCTTCTCCCATCATGGAAGAGAAGACGGAGCTATCAATCAATTGCCTAGCAATTCGGTAATTCCAACGATTGCAGGGGTAAGGTTATTGACGAACAATTTTCTAAAAATCAAATCATATCTTTCCTTTTCATATATTGCTTGTGCTTTTTACCTCAAAATTTCCTAAGACGCTATTAAAGTCGTTTGCAGCTCTTTTGAGATCACCGTTATGCGATTTCTTTGTTAACCAAACTTGACAGTGTTTAGATACTTACAAAGTATATAAGTACTCCGTATATATTAAACTCGAATGTGAATGTGCGAATTGTATTTCACCAGCTATGTGCTTTCATCTCGTTTAAGTTAAAGCTATATTATAATTGATTCTAGAAAATTTGCAAAGTAATATGCAGATTGGCGAACTCACATTTCTTATATGACCTAATAGCTTGTAATAGGAGTAACTATCATCAGAGATGGCATTGGTGGTGGTGATATCCGACATATGTTCCACCCTACGCGGTAGTGTATTTACCTGAACTCATGCTTCCAGTAGTAGCTTTGCTTCCTCTTCCCTTCTTTATAATGTCGTCGAAGCTTCAAAGTGGGGAGGAATTACTTGATTGGAAGTAGTTGCATGCAATATACTTGCATTTCTGTTTACCCACACAAGCCACGTACTTCATATTCATATTTTTCTTCTGTAATTGTTTTGTGTCATATGGTGAATTGTTGAGACTTCATTCTTTCATTTTGACAGATTAAATCCTATTGTAGGTTGTATGTTTGAATGAGTCGGGGATTCCTATCTTGCTACTATGCTACTGCCAGACATTCATATCCAGTAGGAAGTTACTCTATAATTTCTCTTATTTGGAGTTCAGAGTTACGAGGATGGTTTAGAGATTTTCTAAGTAAGTCTTTTTACTTGCTATAGGGATTAGGTTCTGCTCGTATGACATGTTTTTATCTCATAGCATGTTCTTGCTCTTAATATTCAACCACCCATATTTTTGTTCTCTAGAATTATTTAGATTGCACCTAATTTTATCTGTAATTGCCACAAACTTGAGGTCGTCATTCCAATTCGACTTAGCATATAAAACAGTTCTCGTGGTCTTCAAATATTATTGGTTGAGAGATAAAAATTAACAGGGAGTATTGGAATGAAGAAAAAATGGGCAAATTCCTATAATTATCCAGCTAATTTTGGTGTACCAAAATAGCTGACCACCATTTTCACCCACCATGCCCACCATAAATTTCGGATAAGTCGCTGATGAGCCATATTCATGCAAATACATGACTTCAATTTCTTTCATTAGCCTACAATATATTTCTGGGACTGTTTATCATCTCCTTTATAAGATAGCAGGTTTGCTGGAAGCTTAAAACCCCGGTAAAGAAAGGAGAATAAATCATAGATGGAAGCAGGTTGCAGATATAGCGGACTGAGAAAGAATCAAGAGAAAACAAGAAAGAAAAGAAATGGAATAGAAAATTGGTAAGAAACAAAAAGAGTAAATGCTACATAGTAAAAAAACACCAGGACCGGTCACCTTCAAGTCATTTTGGTTTAGATAGTATATGGTTTTTTACAAGTAAATATATGTATATAACACTTACTTAAGTACATGGACTTAAGTGATGATTTTAAGATAGTATAAGGGTCTATTTGATCCTTTTCTCTATATATTTTGAACTTAAAATGTGAAACAAGTAAAAATATACCTATTAAACTTTGGATTGCAGGGATGTCTAATTTGTTTGTTTCTTGAACCTGCAAAGCATATAAAGAAAAGATAATATAAGTAAATAATACTGAAGAAATTATGTTTAAAGTCTCAAAGTCATCTATTTAATCACTAAGGAAATAAATTTAGTTTTACTAACTTATTCTATTCTATGTACGTAGTAAGCACGCCATATAAAGTTATATTATACTGTGAAAACATTATATTTAGTGTCAAAGTCGTCTATTTAGTTTTACACTTTTTTTACGTATTTATTCTATTCTATGTAGTGAACAGGCCATATATATTCTAGTTGTACATCTGCCCATTTTCAATTTTGAACTGGAACCAAAGAGGAAACTCCGGATAAAGATGCATGGTCAATTGGTCACTGACACAGACTCAATTCTAGCATACATTAACCGTTCCAGATTTACAGACAAAAATAACCATTCTCACGGGGGTGGGTATAAGGTGAATATAAGAAAGTGAGTATAAGTAGCAAAATTGTGACCATAATGGTTTAGTTTGTACCTGTAAAACAACTTCAGTTTAAGAGAACAAGGTCAATTTCAAGAGTTAAGGACACTGGATACTTGATCTTGAAGGAGAGTGCTTTGTACCGGCCCACCTTAAGAAATACAAAATAACCTCGGGTACAGAACTTAATGATTCTAGATTTCTAGGTTCCGACTTATTCCAGGGACTCATTCAGGGTATCAAACAGAGACTCTTCTCAACAACAAAATCTGGAATTTCAGAATTCAACATTATAACAAAGCTGAAGAGTTTAATTATTACATAAACTCATAAAGTTGAAGGCTTCAGGTCCATAAAATGGCATTTGCAATAACCAGTAGACTTGGGGTAGGAGTTCCTGCTTCACTTACAGAAGCAATATATTATTATACATAAATGCATAATCATTTTAGGCTATTACCCCCTCACAAATTGATGTGCAAAAGATACATGAAAAGAACAAATGAACAATACATGATAGTTGTAATTTATTATTAAGCGTGCTATACTATATGACGTTCAACAAAAGATACACAACTACACTATAAATGACTTGGCTTTGCAAGTAACAATGCTAATTGGAATTACCTAACAGAATCATTTTCTCTTTCGTTCGAGGTCAAAAATACCCTCGAAGCATTTATCAGTTCTACACTTATACCCTATAACACCTACTATAGGTATTGTCAAATCTTTCAGAAAGACCGAAAGCAGACTGAGGCTAGACCAAAATCAGAGACTTAGAAGCACAACATGAACACTTTCTCTTTAGTTTGCTTAGTGCACTAAAGAGATTTTAGTGCATAAATCTCTTTACATAGTTTGCTTCATGTATCAGTTCTACACTTATACATGGGATTTTTATTTAATTGTAAAAACAAAAACTTTGATGTCATCGAGTCTGGGAAAACAAAAACTTATACATAAAGGTCGACGGTTGAACAGGTTCAGTAGCTTCTGGATCGAAAAGCGTAATACTAAAAAGCAAAAACTTCGATCAAGATTTTAAGAATTTAATCACCTATTCAAGACCTTATCATTAAAGCTCAAGAATTTAAGAAAACTTCTTATATTGATTTTAAACGAATGAAATTGTAATAGGGAAACAAGTTCAAGAGCTTCTCGATCGAAAGACTTTCGTAAAAGAAGAGTAATCGAAAGTGAAACTAATGTATAATCTAATTGATAATAAGTAAAAAGAACAAGGATATTTACCTTTCTTTCATAGCCTTGAATAGCAAGATTACACTTCTATCTTCCTTCGATTCAGATTGCAGAAGTCGGTGCGCAGATTGACGGAGTAGCTATTACCAAAGAGTATACTCCCTCCTTATTTTAAATTCCACACACTTTTGCAAAATTCCATACATTACTTACCATGTTTTTACTTGGACTTTAATTTGTCCCAGACCAGACCAGACCAGTTCAGACCACACCAGACCAGACCACACCAGACTTGGATAGGTATAAAAATACAAAGAAAGCAAACCTTACCAGACCAGACCAGATCAGACCAGACCAGACCAGCAAATTACAGTCCAAGTAAAAACATCCTTAAAAGTTTGATACACCCTAAAAAAAAGTTTGATACATTTTTCTTTTTAGTAATTTTTTGCTTAAAATATACTCAATTGCCATTATTTTTTCTATTTTTATTTTATATTTCATACTTTTTCGCCTTATCTCTTACTGTTTTTATACTATTCATTACCTCTACTATTCTTCTTTAAATCTTGTACTCAAAGTTAATGTAAGAAACATTAAAATAAGGAGGAAGTATTATTATACGGATCGGAGTATGAGACTTTTACCTCGCACAGCTCCACAAAAATGTCCAAATATCAATTACCCAGGCCATGTCAACATATGTATTACATTTATTAAAATGCAAAGTGTGTTACTCCTTTTATCATATTTTGGTTGTCCTACTTTTCTTATTATTTGTCCCAAAATGAATGTTCTGTTTTTTTTACAAGAAATATATGATCCTTATTATTTCACTTAATCAAACTCAAATTTCAATTACAACTTTTACTTTTCAACAATTTTATTAATAATGGTACAAAATTAAAACATGACAATCAATATAAGACAAGGTAGTATGTTTTTTTTTTACTTTTTGGCTCATATACAAACCTATCAAGTTAGCTTAATTGACTTATTTTTTCTTTTGATCGGCTTTTTGATGTTTTTGCTCCTTGTCATAACTTATCTAAAAGGTGAAATTGTCATATTAACCCTTGTACTTTATTAAAAACAACAATTAATTTTTAAACCTTCAATTAAACCCTTTAAGTTCTTCAGAATATCGAGATCTGTCATAGTTTCATTTAAACAGTCATATGCTAATTCTCGGGCAATCTAATGACAAGGTTTCCCATGTCAATCTTTTTCATTTTTTCATTTCTAGTCTAGTTTTATAAAGTCCATTTGGCTCCTCCCCTTTTACCTAAGGATGGCAATGGGGGCGCGGACCCGTGGGGAACCGCCCCGTGGGGGAAGGATAAGGCGAGGCTTGGGGCGGGGTGGGGATGGGGATGGGTGAGATATTTTTACGCCGTTAAAATATGGCGCGGGGGACGGGTATTGCTACACTCGCCCCGTCCCCGCCCCGTCCCCGTTATAAATATATACTCAAACATATATATACACTTATATAAATAATGTACACACATACTAAATTAAATTATATGTAGTATATAACAAACTCATATACATATAGACATACATAATTGTGTACGGTTTAATCATTGTTAATGAATTAATACACATATTATACTAGAATAATATGGAGTAATCAGCTAATAGTGATTAAAAGTATTTATCATAAATGTTATATAAGTTTTAGGAGTGGGAAAGTGTAAGTAAATACACACACATTTATATGTAATATAATACCGACAGTATGTAATTAATTGTATTGTAATTGTTGAGAATTTTGAAACAAGTTACATGGTGATAATATGTTTACTTATATTTTTTACTTTAATTGTCTTCAATTCACAAAACTTATTCAAATTAAAGAATTATTAAAATTGGCGGTATTAACTTTTAACAAACACAATACTTCAGTGTTGCGTGTGTATCATATATGACTGTGTGCGCGTAGATATATATGGGTTTAGGATCAAATGAGAATAACGCTCAGCGCGAGAATGTGCGAACACCACATTTACCCCCAATGTGAAGCACAATGGGCTCGCGCAATGCACTTTTTCGTATCTAGCATAATATTTACAAAAGTGCCACCGTGATTATATATATTAGCTTTTATTGAGCAAAGTCCAAATGTGCACTAGAATGGCTCTATTGTGTATCACACTGGATTAATGTGTATCACATTGGATTAAATGTGATTGTTCCCACGTTAAGCATCGTTCTCGTTGGAATCGCAATACATAAATTTATAATAAGAGATTAAAAGTATATGCAACTACGATAAATTAAAACTATATGGGGGCACCCGTGGGGGACAACGGGATGGGGCGGGGATGGGGTGGGGATGGGGGTAACGGGGAGGGGCGGGGATCGGGGAAACTTTTTAGACATAAGGCGGGGGATGGGGGAGTGTACCCCGTCCCAAACCCGCCCCATTGTCATCCCTACTTTTACCTCTTCTTTTGTTGCTCCAACCCATCAGCATCCTTAGAAAAGAGGTTTGTAGGAGAGCATTAGTTCATCATCACTATCCTCTATCCTCTAGTCAGTCGTAAGTGTACACCTAAAAAATCAACATTTTATGGGTTTATGCTCCATATTAATTGGCTGATTGAAAATGAAAATTCCATTGAGCAATAAAGATGGGCTAGTGATGTACTGATGATTAAAAAAACCCTTTAATTTACAAGTTGAGACTTGAGATCCAAAAGCTCTTAGCTCGTTGACTAAAAAAAGAGATTCTCTCGATTCTGAAATGCAGAAGTTTGAGATGGAACTAGAGGGAAAAGGAAAGTGTTTTTATGAGAAGAAGATATCAAAGAGGGAACTAGAGGCATAACTCCATTAATTGTAGAGTATCAAGATACAAGAGCAATTAATGGAAGATAAGTTAGAAAGGTTCAAAGAGAGAGGAAATTGACATAAAGATAGTAAACTTATTACGTAAAAGAGAATTACGTAATAAGAAAAAAAAACAAAGAGAAACGTTGAGAAGAAAAGAAAGAGAGAAGGAGAGGGATGTGAAAGAAGGACATAACGGAAGAAAGACATTTTGATGGACAATTCTTCAAGAAGAAAAGGAGAGGGGTTACAGGGAAGTTCGTTAGACGCTAGTTGAATGATTGAGGAGCACACACACCGACTAGATCTAACTACGCGGGTTTTCCGATCCGGCTAGGCTGATTGAAGAGCACGCACACCGACTAGGTCTAACTACGCGGGTTTTCCGATCCGGCTAGGCTGATTGAGGAGCACGCACACTGACTAGATCCAACTACGCGGATTTTCCGATCCGGCTAGGCTGATTGAGGAGCACGCACACCTACTAGATCCAACTAGCTGCTAATTTTTAAAACAGTGGGTGTGATGTATGTTCATCCGAATATGATTGAATCTAACACACTATCCATCTAGCAGTGTACATTTTTTATCATAGTTTTTATAAGGCATTTGTCCAAGAATTTCTCATACCTTTTGATGTGTGAAATTCTCAAACACTATCACCAAATTTAAAAAAAAGGTTGAATGAATACCATAACAATGTTAGATTGCAGGAAAAAATCGATTTGAAGAAGGTTCATATAAATCGAGGGGAAATTAAATTTATTGACAAACCGAGCAAGAGCGTACTTCCTCCGTCTCATTTCATGCATCTCCTTTGACTTTGGCACAATTATAAATAAAATGGTTGAAAATATAAAAGTTGTGATTGTGATTTGAGTATAATAAAGTGAAATGGTGTGGACCATATATTTCTTTCCAAAAAGGAAAAAGATACACTTATCTTGGACGAGTAGTCGAGTACTGTTTCATCACTTTGACGAGGCCTTGTTGACACGTCAACATACAGTGCATGCGTATGCGTGGTTTTGCTCTCTATCACGGTTTACTCGCCACGTCAACCCCTCTCCTTTGGGCCCCAACCTTTTCCTTCCCACCAAAGACCCTAAATTCGCGACCGATGCGACCCGTTTTCAAACGCCCATTTAGCAAACCCTATTCTGGAAAGGGTGAAAAAATTAATTAATTATAAATTAATAATACGGGGCCCTCATTAATAAACCAGCGGACTGCGGACGTAATAAACAATAAATAAATAAATAAAATAAACTCCAGATTTCAGACCAACCGACGCTTATTGATCATCCACGTGTACGACTCCATGAATCTCAACCGTTCATGAAAGCTCTCTCGGTCAGCAAATAAGACAGCAAACCAGCCAACATCATCCGTTGGATCAGAGGGCCCAACGACATCGACGGCTCAGAATCTGCCCGAAATTTTCCCGGTCAGATCACATCGCCTTTAAGAGGCGATGCCTTCGCCCTTTCGTTCATCGCTCAATCCTGGAAACCCTTGCCTTTAATATACTGTGTATAAATATAGATATAGATTCTTCCAGTATTGATTTTCGATTTCGGGTTGTCGGTTGAGTGATCTGTAGCCAACGACTTCCGCCGGTTAGGAAATTTTCTCGGATTCCGGCGAGAGCGTGCGGTGCACGTCCTTCCGATACATGTATTCTGCGCCACCTGAAAACGATCAATTTAACCACCACATCTTTGGAATTCAGCGTCTTCGCTGCGATTCATGGCTTCTGCCGTCTTAGCTAGCAGAAATGAGTCGAGCTGGGCACAATCCGGTGATGCCGGTGCTGGATTCATGGGGAAAACCCCTTATTCTCATACCCATTTGAATCCTAATCCTAACCCTAGCTCTAACCCCAAGAAAAAGCAGAAGCACTTCCATCAAACCGCTAGCGGTCGTGCGTTTGACGATTCTCCGGTGGTTACGCAGACCGCTTCTGATGACGCGTATTCGTTCAATCAACGGCCAATCGAATCAAATGGCCCCAATTTCGGAGGCTATTTGACGTTTAATATCCCATCGTACTCGAAATTGGAGCTTAACGAGCTTCGTAAACGGCTGGTGTCGGAGCTGGAGCAGATCCGGAATCTGAAGGATCGAATCGAGTCCGGTCACCTCAGCACCACCGTCAACCACAATCCGAGATCTAATGTGAAATCAAAGAAAAGTTCCGGAAATAAGCGGTCGGTCCCTTCTGGATCTAATAAAGATCTTAAGAAGTTTTGCAATGGCGTTGATAACAACAGGAATGCAGGTGTTGGTGGAGCGATCAGTGGAATTGATCTGGAAAATATGATGAAGGATTGCCGGCAGGTTCTGGCAAAGCTGATGAAGCATAAAAGTTCTTGGATTTTCAACACACCTGTAGATGCGGCTGCCTTAGGTCTTCATGATTATCACCAGATTGTCAAGAACCCCATGGATTTGGGTACGGTGAAGTCAAACCTGGCCAAAGATTTCTATCGGAGTCCATCCCAATTTGCCGCTGACGTGAGGCTGACATTCAATAATGCGCTGTTATACAACCCGAAAACGGATCAAGTCCATGGATGGGCGGATCAGCTTCTTTCAAGATTTGAAGAACTTTTCAGGCCTATTCAAGAAAAGCTCAATAGAATCGAGTGTGAGCGAAGGGATTTCATTTCTGCTGCGGATGAATTACAGGGGAGCTCATGGAACCAAGACATTCCAAGCCCAGAGAGAGGAGCTAAGATGCCCAAGGCTATGACTAGTCCTATCCGCCAAGTTTCCAAGAAACAAGAAAGGTTTTCGAACCACTCTAGTGCCTCTACGCCTTCCGCCCCACCACCTCCACCTCCCAACCCACCTCCACGTCAACAATCCCCCATTCGAACTCCATCTCCAGTGAGAGCCCCGCCTGTGATGCCAACAACCAGAGGAACGATGCCCAAACAACCAAAGCCAAAGGCTAAGGATCCGAACAAGAGGGAGATGCAGATGGAGGAGAAGCACAAACTTGGAATGGAATTGCAGAATTTGCCGGAGGAGAAGATGCCCCAGCTAGTGCAGATTATAAGGAAGAGGAACGAGCATCTGGCCCAAGATGGTGATGAGATTGAGCTGGACATTGAGGCTTTAGATACAGAGACCCTCTGGGAGCTTGATAGATTCGTGACCAATTGGAAGAAATTGGTTAGCAAAACCAAGAGACAAGCTTTATTGGGTAATTTGTCTGGACAGACCCCTTCAGTTAGTGGTGCGGTCACATCCAACATAGATGGCGATGGTGATGGGGTAAGTTTTAAGCATTTTCCTTATCTAAATGAGGAAGTGAAACAGCTTATGAATGCGTCTTTAATTATTGTTTGTTACATTTGCAGTGTGGTTTAAGCGAGAAAATTGATTCACCAAGGAAGCCTAAAAAGGGGGAAGCTGGTGATGAGGATGTTGACATTGATGATGATGATGACGACAATAAGCCTGCAGCCAGCTTTCCTCTGATTGAGATTGAAAAGGATGAAGGCGGTGGTGGTAGAGAACCTGATAATGGCAGTAGTAGCTCTAGCAGTTCCGGTAGCTCAAGCAGTGATTCCTCTTCTTCCAGTGGTAGTACACCTTTTGTATGAATGTGCTGTATGACATTGTTATCTGGACATGATAATCAGAATATAAGTTAGGATGTTAACTTATTTGGATTGAAAAAGAAATAACCAAACATCCTTCTTTTCAAAATAATCAGCTGATTCAGCTCAAACCCACCAAACAGGCCCTGAAATGTTTGTATTAATTAATATAAACTTTTACAGGTTCTGATTCCGGGAGCTCTGGGAGTGACTCAGATGCAGATGACGCACAATCTTGACTCTAGTTGGCATAGTGTGTATGCTGAGAGAATTATCCATCTGCCTGAGCTGTGGCGCTCACCTTTTGTGGGACTGTTATCCAATGTGTAATCTAATCTTTGTAATGATGAGGTATGTATATCAATGGTTATTTATTGCTTCGACTGATGCAGTTGTATACATGTATTGTTGGGAAATGATTAAATGCATGACTTGACATGCTCATAAAAACCCTTGCAGGTGTAGATTGTGCCCAGCTCGGGGGAAGGAAAGAAGATTTAAACCCAAGTCTTGTGCAATGGCATTGATGATTAGGGATTAGCTTCATTTTATTGTTTTATTTTTGTAGTCAGGTTCTTCTTAGTGATAATAATATTAGGAAATGAAATATATGTTAGATGGTTGAGATAAACCTTTTTCCCACCCTTCCTCATGTGTATAGTTGTAATACATGTGTATTTTCTGCAATTCACATTCTTTTCTAGTTGTTGCCTATCTGTTGAGTTATTTTTAATTGGGGGTTGTTTGATGATTTGGCTAACTTGCGAAGTGCATAGTGGCTGCGTTTTTTCTCTAGCACGTTTTTAAAGTGGTATTGGTACGATAGAAGATTGTGGGCATATGTGTTGCTGGAGAAGTGGGGAGACTCGAAGTGCATAGTGGCTGCATATGTATTGGTACGTGAGACTCGAAGCCTTTAGAGGTTGACACAATCACACGCATTATTCCTGTTCAAGGTTTCACACATATGTGCTCCCTCTGTTTTGGTTTGAAGTTTTTATATACGGTGTATTGTTACTTGATGGCTAGATGCCCAATCTAAAGGAGTCAGAAGCTTTTAATTATCCAAAATCTCCTTGCGTGCAACACTGCAACCACAATATAACACAATATAACATAGCTGGTAGGGATAACATAGCTGGTAGGGAGATGGTGCCGCAAGACATGGGCTGGAATCCTATCTCTCTCATTTAACTGTCCAATACTCCAATCAGTTATTAATGTAATGGTCTAAAAAGTTGATACTTTATTTAGGGATTGAAGTCATGAGAATATTTTTGTGGGAAAAGTTTCTGAAATAAGAGTAAATAAATAAGTTATGGAATTCCAAGATTGTTATATTTTTGTTCTCAAAATAAAAGTAACATAGCAAAATTTACTAGAGATATTACCCAAAATGGGACTAAAAAAGTTTGGAAATTCCAAAATAAGACTTCCATGTTTTTATTCCCAAAATAGGACTAGTTACTGTCATGTTTTGGCAGTATCAGACTTCAAACATGGCAATATTTTCCAAATTTGACAGTAATTAGTCTTATTTTGGGAATAAAAACATGACAGTCCTATTTTGAAATTTTCAAACTTTTTTAGTCCTATTTCGGGAACTTTCCCAATTTACTATCATGTAGCAGTCATCATTATCAAATAGTTACAGCACTAAGCATTAACATGACAGTTTTTCCTGTTACTAATAACAACATTTCTCAATCATGAATAAAAAACTTTACTCATATTAAGTTACGTTAGATCTCTTACTGTGTTTACTTTACTTTTGGACACTCTTGCACAGTTGCACGCAAGGGACTCAATTAATTTGGAAAGAAACAAACACATCGGACTGCAGAAGAAGATGACTTTCAAAAGGTGTCGTGGAATGGCACAAAAGTGATGCCAACAAGATTATGGAGTGATAAAACATGAGTGAGTTACATATGAATTCTTAACTTAACAAATAAAATGAATAGATGTAAGTAGGATTCATGAATTTCACAAGCTATAAATACAATGCACGACTTAGGAGTCGGGACATAAGCATTAAGTAATATTTGTCCTTCAAAAGATTTGAACATTAAGTTATCTTCAATTCAATCATCTTCAAGTCCAAAACATCATCAAATAGTTGTTTTAAAATTACTGCTTAAAAGGGTCAGGGAATGGAGTCAAGATTGTGCATCAACCTGAATTGAGTAAAATGGGGGCCTGAATCGAGTAAACTAAGCTTAAAATTTACAAATAACACGTGATAAAAAATTAAAACAAGAAACCAAAGGGAAAAACATCTATACAGAGAGCGGCAACACGGAAAAGAAATGGAGTCTGAAGATGGAGCCAATTTACAAAACTGGTACCTTCTCTTTTACCCTTTCTAGCAAATGGTAATTTCTAATCGTTTGGATCTCCGGTTCAGAAATGGTTCAGCAGCAATGAGTTTCCAATTGATTCATTTGCACAATCCTGACCAGCACAAACTAATAGCTTACGCTAAAGACGGACCACACATTTGATTCTCTAATACAGACGAAGATAGCCGCCTCTTCCCGTTCTATCAGTGCAGCCTGTACCTCTTCTAACAAAAGATCTACGGTTGATGGACCAACTTCTTCTCATAGCCTGTCTTCTTTTCCAAGCCATGAACTGACTATAAAGAGTCGGGAAAAGGAAGCAGAGAAGAACAAACAGTAACATAGCTACACACAGAAACATGACATTCCTAAAACCATCTTTCAACTCTGGTTCTTTTTGGTTAGTCCAAGGAACCCCTCCCACGTTCATCCCGAACACTGTTAGACAAGTCATTGTATGAGAAAATTAATGTCAAACATTTCATTATGAAAATATGTTGAAGGAATGAAGAATATGTGTGGACTTTGGATGCACTGTGAGCCTAGAAGGAAAAGAAAATGCGAAGGGGAGTTATTTTCTTATTTTCTCTTCACTTTTACCTGGGAAAATGGAGTATGATTATATTCTCTTTTTAAACTCCTTTTGATTAGATCTCGTAGTCTTTATTATACATAGTGAAATAATGAATAATACTCATGTAGTGCTATGTGTACATATTGTCTATGTTTTAGTCCTACTTGAAGCAATTTCTATTTTAGATTCAAGTTATTCTTTTTATAGTATATATCACTACAATAAAAATAATAGATAAATATGTGATATGAGTATATGACTTTTACGCGATAGTGAAAAATTGAACATCATAGTATTTCTACAGCAACAGTAGTGACCATAATGATATTCTATTGTGCCATGATTACTTAAATATTTGTCGCAGTTAGTGACCATGTAGTCATATTTTTTTTCTACTGAGATTTATTTGACAAATATCCTAAGAAAAAATCCTGATATAATATAACTAAATAAGAGAGTTTGGACAAATATCGACAACAAATTTATTGAGTTTTGAGTCTATCCTTTATTTTTACTCAAATTTTATATCCTTCTATTTCTTCCTTTTTCCCTTTACCTAGTATTTTCCACGCTCCAAACGGATCCTAAGGGTCACCATTGATCACCCCACATATGTGACACTCCCTACTAAATTACCAATTTAATATTTTAATCCTTCATGAATGAGTAACATTGCAGATAAGTATTGTTAAGGATATGATAATGGGGTGTTCAATCCATGTACTAGTATTTGATAACCTATGGTGTCCCTAAACACTACCATCTCAGTATACCTGAAGGTTAACAAAAAAGATATATGAAGAGAATCTTACCTCCAGTTATTACGGATAAAGGAAGAAATATGATGGATAAGAAGGAGAGGTAGTAAAGTTTGCGGTTTATTTGCTCAGACTGCCAGCTGTCAAGACCAGCTTGAACAACTGTGACACGGTTAGCTATAAACCCAACATTCTCCTTCAATCTTCTCAGTCGACTAATTAACTCTTCTAGGGAGACAATGTCTTCACTGGAAAACCAATCTTTTGAAGAACACTTCTCCTTGACTCGTGGATATACTTGCTCTCCATATGAAATCACCTGCAAACCCGCTTTTTGAATCACTGTCCATCAAGAACTTTCTGGCACAGAATATGAAAACTCGTCCTTTTCAGGATTAGCTCTCAAATGGCTATTCTCCCCTGAAACTAGATGGCTACATCTGCCTTATGGTATGTTTGATTCCTGGAAAATGCTAGGGAGATAATAAAAATGCTATAGAAAACAATTTTCTTACGTTTGGGTTCACCTCGAAATATGAATGAACTGATGGGGTTTTTTACAGAAAAAATGCATACATTCAGGTTCCTTAGTTTTGATATAATAGACAAAAGTTAATCCCATACATATTGGCATATATCTTGTTGAGTTTAAGTATGCATTTTATTTCTTTTTGGGTTTTCCTGAATGCTCAGACAGCAAAGACTTGCAAACCAGGATTAAAGAAAATATTTCCAACTTAATGATTCAAATGACGGCAAAGACTTGGGCACACATACGCATCTTGATTGAAATAAAGTGTGGATGCACACAAGTTACCAAATGTGTTACAAAAACAAGATACAACAACATCCCAGCCTTATTCCCAAAAGATTTTGGGGTCGGCTAACATGAATCAGTCCATAATACATAGTATAAACTAAGCCTTCCAAAACTATTTATCCAAAACTTTAACTTTACATGCTAAAATTGATATCCGATTCTCATATACTAAAAAATCAAAAGTGCTTTTATGCAAGTGAAATTTCCCAAGATAAGAGTAACATGTTTTCAGTATCACGAAAATTCTTTAACGTTAATTTTTTTAGGACTAAAATTTGTAAATTTATCATACTACTCTGGACTCAGTGACTGTTTATAAAAGTTTTGATTTTCTAGTGTTCGGGTGCATGGTCAAAGGTATGTACACTCACAATGTGAAATATGCGTAATTGCTGAGTCACAGGGTATAGTATTTATACTTAATAAATCACAAAATTACTGCTGAGCTATACCTTTACTTTATACTTACAAAAGGTAAATTTCTCCAAAACAAATAACTTTACTTTTAGGAGCCATACATCCCTACAAAAGAATAATACGTAGTATAGTACGTAGTAGTATATAACTATAGGAGTCCTCTTATTTAAAGAATTTGACGACTTATTACTCCTATAAGACAATTTCACACTGAACATTCTAATACTAAAGGAAATAAAGAATAAACATTATATATAGTTTATGATGAGTTGATGACATAGGCAGAACTAAGAAATACCAGTAGAAGGCGTTGCAAGTCAAGATGCATTTTTGGAAATCTTCTATCATCTAACATTAGTTTCTTCAATGCAAATTCACCTGACAAGAAACCAGGCAAAGAACTCCATGTTAGAACTTTTAAAATTTGGCAAATATAAACACTTCACCTGTTGCTTAAAAAAACTTCATCCGTGGCTAATAAGTATCTGGAATACCTTATGTTAAAACTTTTAAAATTTAAACTAAAAAAACACAGCTCAAACATATATACAGACCTCTGTCCAATTCCAATTCCACAGAGTCCAACTCAATCTCCAGATTAGTCACAACATCTTGAAGCTGATCAACATGAGTGTCTATAACGTGAACAACAAGATTGGACACAGATTTGGGGACAGGATTATCTGCTTCCTCAGAGTGGTTCATCGTCAATAGGAAATCAAGAACATGTTCCCTAATTACAATCCCACCCCTCTCCTTCTCTTGCAAATGACCATAACCAGGATTTTCCACAACCGGAACCTCTGAGAGAAGGGACTCGTTTGTCCGCGAGAATTCCAATCTCGGGACACGTCCTAATGAAACCGTAATAACCGAATGCTCAGTAATTCTTGCTGCAATTCTGAAAGTGAACTTACTCGATGCGGGTCCTGGTGAATTCACCCTGAAGACAAGTGCACCATCAACATTCCCACAGAAAGGTCCATTGCTAACAAGTGATAGAATGTCTTGGAGTTTAAGAGGGGGGCAGAGGACATCAATAAGGCATTGCGCAGATTGTGAAAGTTTCTGGTTGTACTTGGGAAGCTCCACATGGTACCAACAAAACTCTCTGCCATTATTACCCTCTGGTGAGATTTCCCAATCTTTATCATAATAATTCCCTTCTCCATCAAAAACATATGATTTCAGTTTTACATCTCCAGAATTACGAAAGCGCAATCCTAGGTTTTGACTAACACGATGGTTATGGGATAGTGGGATTCTTTCCATCTCCTCCCCTTCACTCTCACCATTCAATCCTCCAATACTATGCTCCATATTTATCAAAGCTACCATTAATCAATCAATAAAGCAAAAATAATAACTCCTAAAAATCAATCTTTTCATTCAAAGCAGCTGGGAATTACACAAAAGATCTGATCTTCACCCCAATACGAACCAAATTCAATGGATAGCCAGACAAACAAATGCAAATGTTGATTACCCAGGATCCAAATTCAACTTAATCCCATAAAAAATTATGAATTCATCCTACGCAATGTTCATTCATACGAACTACCAAGCTTACCTTCGAACCCCTTGTTGTTGGTTTGCATACAAAAGAAAACGCTGGAATATCGGTAGGGTCTAACTCATTGAAAGTTTGAAACTTCTCAACGGAAAGGCACCGCCCTGGAGGCTGAAGATACGGAGATGCAGAGCATGTTTATAGGAAATCCAAATAGATACGGAGGAGGCTTATGTCAGTCTACCAACGCTGAAAATGAAAGGAAAAATTTTGCCAAGAAATTCGGAAAAGGGAGTAACTTTTTGCACGCCTTTTGTTTCTTTATTTTAAATGCTGGAATGCAATTGACAGATGTGAAGTCGGCAGCGTAAATAGAATGAGAGTAAATATTACGGAGTAATTTTATCCAAAAGAAAAAGGGACAAGTTTCCTGGTTGACATTTGATCGCTTACATTGGAAATAGAAAAAATGACATAGTCCCTGTAGTTCACTTACCAGTTACCAATCCAGATTTTTCGGGTAAAAATATGACTAGTCATTGTTACAAGTTACCATGAACTAGTCACTATAGTATATATTAGAATGACAAGTCACTGTAGATGATGAGTCACTGTGAATTAGTCACTAAATATGTCACTTCTTGGGGGGAATTAAAATAAATCATATTTTTGTCTTTTGAGTTTAATTTAGTACCGGAGTAATATTCATGAGAAGACCTTGAAAAATACTACTGAGTATTATTCAAGAATGAATAAATTTAAAGACGTTCCCTCAAATAAGATGAATGGATACTTAGGTGGGGTGGATCGAAGAATCTAGGACTAGATATAAACATTAGCACTTTAACTAAATTTAAACAATGAAAAAATTTATATATATAAAATGAAAAATGGGGGGGGGGGGCTCAAACCCATTGTAGCTGATGATCTGATATGTAGATCGTCCTCCGGATTCATGATTTTGGGGTTTGAGTTTTTATTTTGATAATCTCTTTAAATATAATGTATAGTTTGACTTACATACATATTAAGGAAATAAACCTACTAGGGGTAAAATTTACTGTTTTGAAACTGTTTTGATATTATTTGGCACACTGTTTAACAATGTTTGACACTGTTTTGATGTGAGATAACTTTCCATTTAGAAAGAAAAGAACTTCATTTAGGGACTCATAAAAAGGGAAAGCAAGAAGATCCGCGAGGGAATACATCTTAACAAACAAGTAAGTCAAGATCCGATAAAAGATGCTCCAATTAACATGATCATTATAAACATTATCCATAATTTTAGCTAGCTAACGGATAATACATAGTGGGAATGGCATTACAGTACATCGGTACAAACAACTACTACATGAGTTATCCACTTGTTGTCTGTGTGCACAATGCTAGTGGCTTTATCCATATTGTGGATGTTACCTAGTGGGGTGAGATTATGAAATACTCCGTACAAGTTATACAACTACTCCGTATAACATAAAAAAAATATTTACCAGAACATACCTCATACGAGTAGCTCAGTTAATGGAGTTGAGAGAAATGACGATCTGTCAGTGATCAAGTGACCAACAAGGGTTGGCGGCGTCTCTCCTGCATACACTAAAAATCATTTTTGTGCACTCATATCTTATTAATCCTATCTTGTGAACATTATTCAATAATTTTTTGCATTGTCTTGTTTTTTACTCGGGATAATTTTCTCATGTTTCCATTTGTTTTTACTTTTCAGAATTGATTTATTTTAGAACTTATATAAAAAGTGATTAGTAATAAAAGTTGATGATGCATAAAAAGAAAGTGATTTTTGTAAGGAATTGTTGTTTGTGTAATGGAAAAAGTAAAAACAGTTTAAAGTATTAATCTCTTATTTTCTAGCTGTTAGTTTTAAAGTATTTAATTCAAATACTGTTTGAAAGCTAAAAGCAAAGTTAAACAAATGATACTCGTGCAGTGATAGTGGCGTCCAAATTTTCTAAATCTTGAGTTTATACTGCTTTGTCATTTCTAGAACCCAATTCCTAAAACTTTTCTGAGGTCAAGTTTAATTGAATTTAGAAATGTTATGAGACTGGAATAATTCAAAGAAACGACATTTATTTGTGACATTTATGTATAAAAAAAGGTCCAATCAATGAAAATTATAATTAAACAGTACAATAAATGAAGTATATGCAACAATGATCCTATAGTGCTAGATTTCTCTATATTATTGTGTTTAGTATTCCATCCGTCCCCAAAACAACTTCTCGATTTGACCTGCACACATATTTAGGAAATAAACTTATCAAGGGGTAAAATTCACTGTTTTGACACTGTTTCGACACTGTTTGGCACTGTTTGGCGTGTTGACACTGTTTTAATGTTAGATAACTTTCCATTTAAGGAAATGAGAAGTTAAATTAGGGACATCCAAATAAAGAAAGTGAGAAGTTGTTTCAAAGGAGGAGGGAGTATATGATAACTTGTTATTATCAGACTAGCACACGTGCAAATAATATTTTGGTTCACTGAGATTCATCTCAATGTTTCAAGTAATTTATTGGGAGAAGCGCATAATTTTATATGATTCATTTTGCATTTTCGAGAATTTAAAGCCGTAGTAGATTCAATCGCTAATATCATTCTAATTTGAACCAATATACGTGAATCAAACCAATAAGAGAATGCTTTTGAAATTTGAAATATATCTCTATGCATCTATATGCCCTCCCAAAACCAAATGGATAATAATCTATGTTCTTTTTCGGTTTAATACAGGGTACAAATTTTTTACATATAGAAAAGCTAACAATTATGCATTAAACAATGCACTTCACCACAAGCGCTAGACACAAACTTAGAACTTATTTACTTCACAGTTAAATTAGTAAGAAAGTAAAAGTAAACACGCAGACCGCTTACAAAGATGCTTACTAAACAAAATAAGTGCTTAAAGTGTCACTTAATAAGCATATCATCCTCCATTTATTAATTAGACTTTTTCAATTTCTAAATTTACATTTACCCTCATTTCTTCCCCTTGCTCTTGCCTTAACCCCTACCCCTACCCCTAACCCCTAACCTTACCTCTACCTCCCACCCCTACCCTACCCTACCTAAACCCAGACCCAACCCTGTCCCACCTCGCCCAAACCCCTACCCCTTACCCTACTTGTATGCGTACCCCACCCTACCCCACCCCACCCCTAAACCGTCCTCCCCGGTACTCGTGCCTCTTACCCGACCCTACCCCATCCCCGTTACCCCCAACCTCAACCCTGGCCTACCCCGACACCCATACCCTGCCCCACCCGGTACACCTACCCTTACCCCCTACCCTTGTATTGTACCGGTACCCTTCCCCCTACCCTGACCAATAGGCTCATGCATCTACCTGTTAACCCTACATACCTAGGGATCAGGGTGAGAGTGGTAGGGGTAAGGTCGTGGTAGGGGTAGGGTCGTAGTAGGAGTAGGGGTATGGAAGGGGTAGGGGGTTAGGATTATGGGTACGCGTACGAGGTGGCCCCCACATATTATATTATATACTTGTGTACGTGAATGTTTTTGTGTCTATATTGTATAAAGTTATTTTGGACATTTTAATTAGGGTTGGACTCGGGCCGGGTGGCCCGACCCGGAACCGGCCCGAACCGACACTGTTACGGCCCGGTGGCCCGGTGGCCCGGTGGCCCGGTCAATGACCAATTCGGGTAGGCCCGACCCGCTGGGGTTCCGGTCCGGCCTCGGGCCCCTCAAAACGTGAACCGGCCCGGCCTGTTCGGGCCCGGTCCAGGCCATTTTATTTATTTTCTTTTTTTTTTGATTTTTTTTTTAAGTTTTTGGGTTGGGCTAGGTATTTTGGGTCATTTGAGATGGTTTGGGGGGTGAGGGGGGGTGGTTAGGGGTTAATTAGGAAAAGGCGAAAAAAAAATTGAACCGAGGCCCGGCCCGGACCCGGGGGTTACCCGGGCCGGTTCCGAGCTTCCCCTTTCCTGAACCGAGGCCCGGCCTGGCCCAGGCCCGAACCGGGCCCAAACCGGCCCGGGTCCATGCCTGATTTTAATATTAAACAGTGTTTTAAATTCTGTGAAGTAAACATGAGCTTATAATACTGTTTATTTTATGTGTCGCTTATTAACGCAAGTTTTAATAAGCACCGTTTAGTAACATAACAAGTAAACATGTCTTTAGATTTATTTTATAGATACTATTTGTGAATCTAATGATTTCTTGCCACCATTAGTGTAGTGCTAATATTGCTTGCATAGTTGCATCCCACAATTTTAAAGTAGGATTGGATCAAATGGACGATTTCCAACATATAAATCATCCATATATGTAATGTATGGCAATGAGAATCTACCATTTTTTTTGAGCAATTCGAATTTACATCTTTCAAGTGTTTAGGGTGACTGCTTGAGAGCCCAAATTAACCTGAAGAAATTAGAATCAAGTATTTCTATTTAAAAAACTATCACAAAACAGTCCACTCCGTACTTGTTTTGAGAAGCACATGTCAAGTGAAGTTATTTCACTTATTTTGCACCCAGCGTTGCTTTTTATTTTGTAATATAATAATAAAACATTAGGAACTTACACTCCCTCCGTCCCATAAAACATGGTCAAAATTGACTTGCACATAGATTAATAAAGTAAAAACTATTGGTTGATTTGTGTGGAAAGGAAAGAGAAAAAACTTTGGCCACATATATCGGTATATGTTACTTTTAAATGGAAGAGACAAATTTTTTTGGGACGGACAAAAAAGGAAAGTAGACAAGTTTTATGGGACGGAGTACTAGAATCTACTCCCTCCGTATCAAATTACTTGACCCACTTTCCTTTTTTGGGGTATCAAATTAATTGACCCATTTCCCTTTTTGGAAAGAATTCCACTCAAAAAGCAGCTACAGTACTGCTACAGTACCGCTACAGTGTCAAAAACCTCTTACTTTTAATAAAGTCTACTGTAATTGTCTTAAACTGCGTGAAAAGCAAATGGGTCAATTAAATTGATACGGAGGGAGTATAATGTTGTATCCGAAGCCAAGGGAGATCAAGAGATGTTCTTTTTGCACAAGGTTGGGTATGCCATTGAATGCAGTACTTGGCAAACAGAACAAATGTGATTGAAAATATCATATTCGGGAATAAAATGAAGCAAGAAGATAGTGAGAAGTGAGATAAGAGAGTGTGATCATAACTGAATGCCTATACATCGGATTCCAAAGTATAAGCATTCAGTTCTTGTAAATGCTTTTATGCCATTAAAGGATCATCTCATATTCTCTTACTCCAAAGAATTAAAACTATGAAAGATCACACATCTTCTCCGCCACTACACGTGTATGCT